ATTTGCATGGAATACCTTTTTCCATCACCTCACTTTCAGTCTGTATTTGTATGTAGCTCTGAAGTCGGTCTCTTGTAGACAGCATATACATGGGTCCTGTTTTTACATGCAGTCAGTCTATGTCTTTTGGTTGGAGCATTTAATCCATTTATATTTAAGGTAATTATCCATGTGTATGTTCTTATTGCCATTTTGTTAATTGTTTTGGATTTGTTTTTGTAGGTCTTCTTTCTGTTTCCTCTTTTGTTCTCTTGTGATTTGATGACTATCTTTAGTGTTGTGTTTGGGTTCCTTTTTCTTTTTTGTGTATATATTACAGATTTTTTTGTTTGTAGTTACCATGATGTTTTAATATACCAGTCTGTATGTATACATTATTGTTTTAAGTTGCTGATCTCTTAATTTCAAATGCATTTTAAATATCCTGCATTTGTACTCTCCTCCTCTCACAATTACTGGTTTTGGTATCATATTTGTGTGTGGATGATTTCCTACCTTTATAGTTGCCTTTACTAGTGAACTTTCCTATTTTATAATTTTCTTGTTTCTAGCTGTGTCCTTTTCTTTTCCACTTGGAGAAGTTCCTTTAGCATTTGTTGTAAAACTGGTTTGGTGGTGATGAATTCTGTTAATTTTTGCTTGTCTGTAAAGCTTTTGATTTTTCCGTCAAATCTGAACGAGAGCCTTGCTGGGTAGAGTGTTCTTGGCTGGAGGTTTTTCCCTTTCATCACTTTAAATATATCGATATATCGTGCTACTACTTTCTGGCCTGCAGAGTTTCTGCTGAGAAATCAGCTGATAGTCTTCAGGGGATTTCCTTGTATGTTATTTGTTGCTTTTCCCTTGTTGCTTTTAATATTTTCTCTGTCTTTAATTTTTATCAACTTGATTATTATGTGTCTGAGTGTGTTCTTCCTTGGGTTAACCCTGCATGGCACTCACTGTGCTTCCTGGACTTTGGTGACTATTTCCTTTCCCACGTCAGGGACATTTTTAGCTATTATCTCTTCAAATATTTTCTCAGGTTCTTTCTCTCCTTTGTCTCCTTCTGGGACCCCTTTAATGTGAATGTTGGTATGTTTGACATTTGTCCCAGAGGGCTCTTAAACTCTCATTTCCTTTCATTATTTTCTTTATTCTGTTCCACGGCAGTGGTTTTCACCACTCTGTCTTCCAGCTCACTGCTTTGTTCTTCTGCCTCATTTATTCTGCTACTGATTGCTTCTAGTGTATTTTTCATTTGCTATTGTATTCTTCAACTCTGTTTGTTATTCTTTATATTTTCTAACTCTTTGCTAAAAACTTTCTTGCAACTTCTCGCTCTGTGCATCCATTTTTTCCCTGAGTTCTTGGATCATCTGTACAATCATTACTCTTAACTCTTTCTCAGGTAGATGGCCTATCTCCACTGCACTTATTTGTTCTGATTCTGGGATTTTATCTTGTTCCTTCTTCCAGAACTTATTCCTTTGCCATCTCATTTTGTTTAAGTTACTGTTTTATTTTTATGTATGCAGTGGCTTATGTTTCTTGACCTTGGAGAAGTGGCCCTCAGTAGGGGTTGTCCTATGTGTCCCAGCAGTACACTCCTCTCTCATCACCCAAGGGCCAGCCTGGTCCTAGGGTACTTTCTGACCTATGTTTGCGGACTCAGTGCTGCAGGATCATAGTTTTCTTGCTTCTAGTGTCTGCCCCCTGCTGTGTGAGGCTTTGTCTAGAAGCTTGTGCAGGCTACCTAGCGGAAAGGGCTGGTGCCTGCCCACTGGTGGGTGGAGCTGGCTCTTGGCCCTCTGGTAGGCAGGGCTGTGTCTGGGGGCATGTCTAGAGGTGTCTGTAGGCTCAGGAAGTCTTTAGGCAGCCTATCTGCTGATAGGTGGCGCTGTGTTTCCATGCTGTTAGTTGGTTGGCCTGAGGCATCCCAGCACTGGAGCCTATATAGGCTGTTGGTTGGGGCCAGGTCTTGGTGCCAGGGACCCAAAATGTCTGCCTCCAGCCAGAGTTCACGTAGATCCCTGCTATGTCCGCCACCAGCTTTTATGACCCCAGAGAGAGCCACAGCTGTCGCCCCCCACACCACCTCCCCAGGAGACCCTCCAAGACCAGCAGCTAGGTCTGGCCCAGGAGACCCTCCAAGACCAGCAGCTAGGTCTGGCCCAGGCTCCTATGGAATCATTGCTTTTGCCCTGGGTCCCAGTGCATGCAAGATCTTGTGTGTGCTCTTCAAGAGTGGAGTCTCTGTTTCCCCGAGTCCTGTGGAGCTCCTCAGGGAGCTGGCCTTCAAAGCCAAATGCTCAGGGGGCTCCTCTTCCTGGTGCCAGACCTTTAAGCTGGGGAGCCTAGCGTGGGGCTTAGAGCTGTCACTCCTGTGGGAGAACTTCTGTGATATAACTGTTCTCCAGTTTGTGCATCGCCCACCTGGTTGGTATGGGATTTGATTATATTGTGAGTGCACCACTCCTACCATCTCATAGTTTCTTCCTTATGTCTTTGGATTTAGAGTATCTTTTTTTTGGGTAGGTTTCAGTCTTTTTTATCACTGGTTGTTCAGCAGTTGTGATTTTGGTGTGCTCATGAGAAGAGGTGAGCTCAAGGTCCTTTTACTGGTCTCTCAATGGCCTATGTAATTTTATCTGATACATACTGAAGTGCTATAGAATTGCAAATTTAATTATTGATAAAAAATGGCTCATGTTGAGGAGTTGTTGCCCAGAGTGTGTGGGCCGTGAAAGTCAAAACTAATCGCTAATTGTCTTTGGCACTTGAAGATGACTGCTGATGAATGGCCGTACATATTGCAGTGTCCACAAAATATGATGTGTTCTAAGCACAAGATGCACCTAATGGTTCCACCCCTCTTGTTGAACTTCTCTCCTAATTTATCCCTCCCTCATGGGCTGTGAAACCTTTCCATAGGAACCCTCCAATTCTGCTGTCGACCAAGATGACCTCAGCTGTTATCACAGTTACGTGGGTCCATGTCTGAGCTGCACCCTCTGTTCTGTCAGCATCCTTTAGAGTGTTTCCTCCATGTGCTCCAACTGCCACTATTGACTTTAGTCTGCTTTGTAAAAGCTGGTATAATAATCCAGCTGTTAGGAATCCATTGCACATTCCCAGTGCAAGACTTATAGTATGGTAAGAGCTGGAAGGGACCTTGATGGTCGAGTGTGACCCCATGTTACAGACTAAGAAACTGAAACCTGGAGACTTGCCCAAGCCCCAAAGCCTAGTTTGCCAACAGTGTTAGAACTAGACTCTAAGCCGTGTATTTTCTTTTCCTTATGTCTTTTTTAAATGACTTTTTCCTTTGGAAAATATCAAACATAAACAAAAATGAGCTAGTATAATGAATCCCCCTTATATCTCCGTCCTCAGCTTCAGCAATATCAGTGTTTAAACAATCGTGTATTGTCTGTACCTCTCCAAAGATTATTTTACAGCAACTCATAATTTTACTTGTATTTATTTTATTTATCTCTTAAAGATAAGGGTCATTTTTAAAAACAGTCTTAATATCATTATCGTACTTTAAATGAACAGTAATAACCTAACTGCTTTCATCAAAACCCATTGCCCCTTGATATAGTAAATAGCCCAATTCTTACAGTTGCAATGCTGGTTTACTTAGGAGCTGAATTCTGAGGTCTCAGTGTTGGTGACCTGCTTTACCATTAGATAAATAGTGGGTGAAATGCTTTCTATGGTTGAAGACAGAAAACTTAACTTGAATTTCTTATATATTTGTTTCTTTTTGAGATTCCACAGCATAGCCTTGAGTATAGAGCAGTACTTATATAATTACCTTGGAAACTTTTCATAATACTTACAGTCTGTTTTACCTGGGAGTATAACATAGGGAACCAGAGACATTTATTTTCAAGTTGTCGGCTTCCTGTCCTGTTATATTTTCAAGCACATAAAATCCAGTCGTCTTTGAGTTATGTTGGTCCTTCCAGGTCCTCATCGTCCTACCTGTCAGTCTGAGCTTCTGTACTACCTGGTATTAAAGTGCAGGCACAGATGGAAACGCACATGTGTTCGTCAGTTATCTGTGATTTGAAATGGCCTATAGGTTATCTCCCTTTCACTAGAATTGACTGTAGGGTGAATGAAATTACACTTACAAAACAAGGATTTTTCTTGTTAGGTATAGCTATCACATAACTTGATCAGCCTTTGGATTTTAGAGTTCTTCACTGATCTGATTTATAATAACTACAGTTATCATTTATGTTGTGCCTTACAGTTTTTAAAACACCTTTACAGATAGCTTCCTGCCTAATAGTAGTTGTCAGAGTTCAGATCTGATGGCATTGAATCCTCTGAGACAAACTAGCATAATTTACAATTCTAACTTACATTTTCTGGCTTTTACCTCTTTACATCTTGTACTGTGGCTTGGGTACTCAGGATTGACAATGTGGTATAGCAACAACATTGCTGGTTGGTACAGAAAGACCCTACAAACAACTTGGTGGTGTTTGTAGCTAGATGATGCCTTTCATTACTGGCCTTAGCAGTCTGGCCTTTGAAAAGAAGGTAGTGGTAGCATTATTGAGCATCAAGAATTTCATTGATTGATTCCTACAATAGTAAGGAAGGAGAAAATCCATACCTCTAACAAGTTTCTTCACCCAGACATTTTAACTGTCACATTGTCATGGCCTGGGCTGTTTATAAAAACAGAAATAGGGATGTCATGGTCCAGACTCCTCAGCTTCTTTATCTAAACTCTTAAGTTTCATGTAAAGCAGGAATGTTGTTGTTTATTTGCCTTTTGTTTCTTTTAAAACAACTATTTTTTAAAAGCATTTCTCAGTTTTTATTGGGTTCAATTGGAAAAGTCTTTATTGTAAACAGAAACTAATTGATTGTAAGTGTATCAAACTGAGCTTTTTTTTTCCCTCCTTTTTTTTTCTTTGACTGTTTGAGCCAATTTTTTCTATTCCAAACAAAATTCTGAAACTTAATACATGGACATTTCTCTTTTCCTTTGCCAGTGTGCAAATCTCCAGGGAGTCAAGATGCTCTGTTCTAATGCAGAAGGAGCATCCCTGAAACTGTGCAATTTTGAAGATCCTTCTGGTCTTAAAGCCAATTTAGAAGGTGAGATTCTATCTATAATTACCTTCTCTAAGGTAAAAACACACTGTTAAGTAAGTAAAAAGCCCTGCAAAACAATTGTTACTGCTAAAACATGACAACCGTAGGGATGTAGATTTCTTCTGTCTTATACTTAGAGAATTTGCAAAAGGATTAAGCCATTGCTTGGTCTTAGTCCTGGTGACCAACATGCTGAACTTGGGAAATGTGGCCTCCAATGTTTAAGGAGGCTTCAGTTGGAGAATTAAGTATCAACATCTTAAACTTTCAAACAGAACAGCGTAGCCTTACATGGACCAAAATTAAGAAATTCAGTTTGCATATAGCCAGGCAGTTTTTTGTCATTTTTGGATATAATATTTTGTTTATGAATTCCTTATTGCTTTGTTGTGTCCATGAACTGGTCAATTCATTTATTTGTATATTTAGAAGACACAGTACTTATCTTCACTGCCATGAACTTTCCAGGGCATATTTAAAAGTGCTAATTATCATAAGACCGAATTTAATTCCTCCATCAAAAATACAGACTAAAACATGAATGCTTAATTCATAGTGTAAGCAAACAAATTGTTAACAAAGAACTCTTTATATATGTATGTTGGTTGAGAGACAGATTTATAATTCAGTCATTTCCAAAGGATCCAGAGGTCAGCATTCACCTCTATTATAAGTCACCTTGCATCTTTTGAAGATACATGACTATAAATATTTTCAAGTTCAACTATGCCTAAAATGTATTCCCTTTAGGTGCTAATCTGAAAGGTGTGGATATGGAAGGAAGTCAAATGACAGGAATTAACCTGAGAGTTGCTACCTTAAAAAATGCAAAGTTGAAGAACTGTAACCTCAGAGGAGCGACTCTGGCAGGAACTGATTTGGAGGTGAGTCAGCAAGTTGAAAGAGTTTTTATTAATCTAGAATTACTGAGTAGCTCCTGCAAAATGTATTGAGATCATAAACAAAGTAATTGGCTGGTCAAAACTGCCAGGTAACATGCCAGCCCAGCTGAAGGGATGCTTTCCTTTCAATTGCTTGTTTAAACAAATTTGAATTCCAGAGTAGGATCCGGTTACCTAAGTTACAGATGCCAGGTTCAGATTTGAAGACTCAATCTGGCATTCAGTCTGAGCTGATTTCATTTCTCCTCTTTTCCTTGGGTCTCCCTCAAGTAGATACATTTGATAGATGCTTTTTTAATCCAGTTGATTGTGGTTTCCTTAAATTTTAATTCCAAACAGAATTTAATTGGGCCAGATTATTTCTTGAACTACTTGAGAAATTGAAATGACATCTGTGTTTGAAATCAGGTTCAGGGAAAGCCTGTTCTAAATCGGCATCATATTTTTTGAATCTCAACCTGAGATTTTCATTCTGTCCGGTCACCTTTTTCATCAGTATTGTCTTGTATGTATCATCTTGATTGGCAGATTTAGCGTGCAGACTCCAGAGCTGTTAATAGGTCTGTATCATCGCTCTCTGGTAGCTCTTTCTGCAACAGTGGGCATGTTCTGTGACTCTGCTGTCAGTCCAGCAACCACCAGCCACCTATGGCTCCTGAGCTTTTAAAATGTGGCCAGTGCCACTGAGAGATGGATTTTTTAAATTGTATTTAATTTTAATTCATTTAAACATAAGCTGCTATATGTGGCTGGGACTATCGTATTGAACAGTACAGCCCTATACAAGAAAACCTGGCATAGATTGGATTGTAGAGACTAGCGCGTCAACGTTTAGCTTGCTGTTGAGTTTTTTAAATGTTTTCGCCTTGTTCTCTTGATAGGTCTTAGCAGCGTAGTAGCAGGCCCCGTTAACCTTAAAGGCAAAAAGAACCAGCCTAAGACTGAAGGTATAAACCTATTATAAGCATCATTATTTAGTTTTTTATTACGTGTTACTGTCACCTATGATGATGATTGTTTTTCCTTGGTTTGAGTTAGCATGCAGTCAATGCGGTTAAACAGCAAAAAGCCTCTCTTTATCCAGCTGATTGCAAAGACTAATCAGGTTGACTGTTGGGGCAGCTGCTGACAGGTTATGTGCAGTCACCCTTCTCTCTAACCATTGTCCCCACCATCCCCAGGGATGTAGGACTTATCCAAAATCCCTGTCTCATCTGTCACTCCCTGATCTCAAGGGAAATTTGAAAGCAGTTCCCACTTATGGTGGTGGTTACACTGCTGTATACATTTATTAAAACTCATTGAACTGTACACGTAATTTGGGGGTTGAAAAGAGGTAATTCCTTGCTCTAAGAGTGTTAGGGTTGAAGGAGAATCTATTATGCGATTTAATGAAGTGAAATCCCTTTCTCTCAGATTTTTTTTTTACACAGTCTTCCCCACCCCCTCGCTCCCATGCCTTGCATTATTATTGTTCATGGATTGTTTAGATACTTTTTACTACACTGGAGTCCATTCTGGATTTTAAATGCCTAAAACACAGAAGGGACATGCTTCGTCATTAACTTTTGTTTATACATATTGACAGTGGTCAGCCTGAGCGTCAACTAGAGAGAGTAAATACAGAGAGAAGAAAATATGACTTTCTTCTAAAATTTCTGGAAGTTCTCCAGAAATAACTGAGTTTTATTATACAGGAACATTTTCCTAATACACCCCAGGAATCACTTTGAGAGGGAACAGATAAGGCCTTAAATCTGTCTGTTACTTCCAAGAATATTGTTTTTGTCCTACAGAACTGCGACCTGTCTGGGTGTGACCTTCAAGAAGCCAACCTGAGGGGCTCCAACGTGAAGGGCGCCATCTTTGAAGAGATGCTGACACCACTACATATGTCACAAAGCGTCAGATGAGAATCCTAGGGATGGAGGAAGATGCCGAAGATGAGAAAGGCTCTCCGTATCACTTTTCTTTCTCCACCCACTCAGCTGTCTGGAAGAAATAACACTGGAAGGGAATTTAAAAAAAAAAACATGTAGAGGATTATGCTTGTTCTCAGAGGTGCATAAGGGAAAAAAGTGACTTTTTTTCCCACATTCTGATTTTAACAGAGAAGCACTATTTAGTAGACGTAGGGAAGCTAGATTAGATTGCTGCCTTTTGAGTGGAGTTAGGGGGATTTGCCTGGCTTTGTGACCAGGAATAGTATCTATTATATTTGCTTTTAAATAGGCATGATGTGGAAATACCATCTTGGTTTGAAATGCATTTGAAGATTTTAATTTATGAAAAGCACAACATATGCAATTATATTTATTGAATCTTTAGATGCAGTATGGATATTTAAATTGTTAAACTTTATGACAATTTTGAAAAGGTTGTTCAGGTTTATAAATATCAGTAGCTTTAGTGATGCCTCCCCTACTTTAAATACCTGTCACACCGTGTGAATATGGTGAGATCAGACTCCCCAAGGCTTTCAGGTTCATTTTTTTTTTCTTTAAGAACAAAACATTAGCTAAATTAAAGAAATCCTCTGTTACTGATTGAGACAGAGTGGAAGGAAAGAGATATTGTTGTCCATCATTGTCAGCTTAAGTAACAGTGGAACTTTCCAAATGGAGGAAGGATTTACCCACAGCTACAACTTTTGAATGAGCATTCCTTAGGATTTCATTCTTAGCAAGTTCCACTCAACGCCAGACCAGGCAATTTTATCTATTTACACTGCTAGCCTAGTTTCCTCCTGTAGAGTCAAAACAAGCATAGGAGAATAATAGTTCTGAACCAAAAAACCAAGGTGCATAATTAACGTTCATTTCATTCAAATGCTAAATAGTTTAAACAGGGCCAGCTGGGAAATAGGTATTAAATCCCAATCCACTGCAGTCAGCTATAAAATATGAATGAATGAATGAATATGGTAAATTCATCTTTTAGAAGTCAACATAATATAATTGCAGCTCAAAACCCTACAACGGGGAATGAGGACTTTTAAACTGACAGTTTGACTACAGCTATCAAAAAACTTAAATGAAAATAAAGGCATTTGACTGGTCCAAGATGTAATACCAATAAGTCAGCACCTGTGGTTCTTATATTTCTGGTTTCTTTTGTTTTAATAAATTTTAGCCTGGCTTTTTTGAGTCATTATCTCTGCAGCAGCAGGGGCAGGGCCTGTACTTCCTTACCAGTAACCGGTGTCCTATGTCTACCCCAAGAGCAGGGATGTTAAGCTGTGTCCAAATGGGTTCTGAATTCTACAGACTCATCGGTTTGAGGCAAGGAATCATTAAAAACCACTTTGTCTCCTTTGGGAGAATGACATGTCTTCAATATTTACGTAGCTTATTCTTCTATATAAACATATGCAAAGCTTTCCTTAACAGTAAAGGGTATATATGCATAGTGGGAGGAGGTCAGACCTTTACAGGTGAAGGAAAGCAACTTCAGAAATGAATTATTTTCTTTGCTTTATTATTTTTACCAAGACAGAGAAGTATTGTATTGAGAGATATCTATTTTCGTAATCAATATGTGCCTAAATTATATTTAAATCATTTCACTCTGTACTATATTTTCAATAATTATAGACTGTGTTGTTCATCCACTTAAGGGTACATCTGTAGACATAACCTAAGACTGCAGAAGAATCTGAAAGATCCAAACACAGTATGCTTAAAAAATGCAGATTTTGGATCTAATGTATACTGCATTAATAAATGACGTAAAATGTTGAAAAGGAGTTTCTTGTCTTGCTTTTGAAAATCAGAACTTTCCAAATTTACTTACATTTCTTCAATATGTGTTGAAGACCAGCCCCAAGGGTCTGGGTGGAAAAGGAAGAACGTGCCGTTGAAGTTATTTCTTTAAGCATGGTTATTTTATGACCCTCCTCTTAAAATCCACCATTCTAACAACACAAAGACATTTCATTAATGCTTAACGAAAGAAAATACTGTCTTCCAATAATTCAGTTTTTGTGTTACTCTTTAGCTGATGAACATTATTACCAGCGAGCTTTTATTAGGATGGTTACGTATTGATACATTGCCCCTAAAATGTTCTAGCCTGACAACCAGAAGAAAGAAGTTTAAGAAGGAAGGGAAGTTTCAAAATAGTAAAACTTCCATTGACCCGAGCAGTGAAACATGACTGTACACATAGGTTAAAAACACAATTGTTGGAGGAGGGGTGAGGAAGGGCTAGAAAAGGGTTTAAACCTAAATTAGCTAATTATCTACACTGAGAAAATTCAGAACTCACGTAACTGTTTAGAGCAATACATATGCTGTAATATAGTCTAGTCTTTTAACTATAATTTCAAAGCCATTTTAGTAGGAAATATTGTAAATTCATTTTCTTATGAAGTTTACCATCATAAATCAAGACTTGGGGTGTTTTCTCCAACTGTTCATTTCATGAATTGGAAGTAAATCTACCGCAAGTCAACCTTAATATATGAAAAGCCCTAGAATTTTTTTAAATCTCCAAGGAAGTATTATCATCTTTAAAATGTACAACTCTAAAAGCAGTTACATTACTTTTGGTATAAAGTAGCTTATGCAAGGATTAATTCTCCAAAACCCTTTCACAACCTTAGATATGTCAGCAGGAGTTCATGAGTCCTTCCTGCTGAGATTTTACATTAGGACAAAGAAGGTTTCCATCTGTCATTCAGCAAGATTACTAAACCATTATTGTTACATTTTAATAATGCTAAAAATGGGGCCATTTTCCTCTAAAGCCATACTTTAAAATTTAGGAAATTTCTAAATTTAGGGGGAAAGTATAAAATCCAAATATTTAAACCCAATTAACTAAATTCAGCTTCCCGGTAAATCGATCTATCCTTGGAACTGTGAAAAGGATCAAAATTTGTCACCAAACCTCCACATTCCATTAATTGCATATTTGTTTGATATCCTATTTGGTGATGTAGAGAATAAATTTGGCCTTTGCCCTTGAGATCTATGACAATGCTAAGGCAGGCTTCAAGGGCATGAAGCATACTGGATGAATTCACAGACCATGTGGCTGTGTTCATGTAAAAATTTCAAAGCATTTTTCAAAGATTTAATACCAACTAATAGAAATAAGCTACCAGAAATGCAGGGATGCTTAACCAGAGATAAGTGATTAACATGACAATAAGGGTCAGACGTCTCAACTCCGCTTTCATTACTCCTAACCAAAGACCACATCTGCTTAAGCAACACTGTTAGAAGCATATCTCTTTCAGCAAACATGAAACCAATTGGACAATTTAAACAAATATCGTTCAAACATAATGGACTCTTGTTGAAAACTAGCCTCTCATTACCTTTACAGTGAGATAAGATTGCACTCCTCCGTGTCAGAATGGCGCTTATATTATTCAGTGTCTAAATGAGATAAAATAATTTAAATGAGATAAAGTCAATCACTTATGTTCTACTTTTTAATGCCCCCTCTATTGGCAATTATACTTTAAAGTTTATCCTCTTCAGAGGATCTGACAACCTCCACAGAGGTGGCTGGGCAAAGCAGGAGTTTATTTGGGTGGAACGACGTTGCTCTTTATGCCAAGATCCTTGCAGATGTAATTATTTCACAGGACACTGGGCAACAACTGACTGGTTTAGCATCCTACTCGAGGAGAAATGCCAATCCTGGCTCTAAAATGAACACATATTCAGTTACTTTTAAACATTTTTCCACTCAGCAAATGTAACAGGCCTTCCATCCAACTGTACATGAAGGTTTAATTCTGTGTCGGATAAAACATCTTTGGACAGCGTCTGTGCGATTGTGCTGGGAGATGTTTACTAAGACCTTGAAAATAGTAGGGGAAGAGAATTTAATGGTTTAAATCAAGCTGGTTTAAAGCCACCCTAGATTTTCTATGGAGTGGGATCTGACGGCAAAGACTTAAATTTTCTGTAATTTAAGAAAGAAGTATTAAAAGTCCACTTCCTTTGGGAAAAAAAACCCAACACATATCTTTGATGCAGAAGTAGAGGAAACATTAGGTCTAATCTGGCTAAAAGGTCCTTACCGTTTATTCATTCATTCACACATTCATTCCAATCTATACTTATTGAATGCTGATTAAATGCTGGGGCTTTTTAAATTATTTATTTGGCTGCGCCGGGTCTTAGCTGCAGCCCACGGGATCTTCCTTGCCACATGCGGGATCTAGTTCCCTCACCAGGGATCGAACCCAGCATGGAGTCTTAACCACTGGACCACAAGGGAAGTCCCTAAATGCTGGGATTTACTAACAGATGTTTAAGTAAGATGGGATCCTTGACCATCATGAGTTACAGCCCAGGGGTAAATTAGGAAAGACAATCATGGATTCAAATAAATGTAATAAAGAGTAGTGGATCTCTCTCCTTTTTAAATGCTTGTACTGTGTAAATAAAACGTCCGAGGGCTCACCACTGGGGTGAAACATATCTCTGTAAAATTTGGATCATGATATCCACTTTGCAGGACTGTAATAATGAAGCAGGTTAGTCTCATTCACATGCCAGATTATTTCTCATCTTTGTACTCCCATGATCGTTAGCACAGGGATTTGCATCTTTTAACTCAATAAGTATCTACTGAAATGAGTTGACATGGGCCTAAATCTACTCTAGATGGTTTTGCATTTAGCGGATTCTAACTACAATGTTTCTCCTTACCTTTCTGATGCTGTATAAGGCTTTCAAGAAAGAAGATGTGGTATATATACACGATGGAGCATTACTCAGCCATAAAAAAGAATGAAATAATGCCATTTGCAGCAACATGGATGGACCTAGAGATGATCATACTAAGTGAAGTAAGCCAGACAGGGAAAGACAAACATCATATGATATCACTTATATGTGGAATCTAAAAAAAAAAAAAGATACAAATGAGCTTATTTACAAAACAGAAATAGAATAACAGACATGGAAAACAAATTTACAGTTACAAAAGGGAAAAGGGAGGGGAGGGATAAATTAGGAGTCTGAGATTAGCAGATACACACTACTATATATAAAATAGATAAACAAGGTCCTACTGTAGAGCACAGGGAACTATACTCAATATCCTGTAATAGCCTATAAGGGAAAAGACCTGAAAAATAAGTTACACATATGTGTGTGTGTGTGTGTGTGTGTGTGAGAGAGAATCACTTTGCTGTACACCTGAAACTAACAGAACATTATAACTCAACTGTACTTCAATTTTAAAAACTAAATAAATTAAATAAATAAAAAATAAGTCAAGGAGGAAACCTGGAGGGTAGCAGACTGGGGACTCACGCCACCTACTTTAGAGATCCTATATGGGCTTGGAATAGTACCAATAATCACTTATTGCCTATAAATCAGCTCCTTTTAACACACGAGGAATCTAAGAGCTGAGACCAGATCCCAGGCATCCTGACTCAACCTACAATTATTGCATGGCCTCCTCCATGAAAGTTTTTATGTGTGCATTTAACATGACATTCTAAGACAGCTATTTTCCTTGAACTCTTGATATGTCTGTCAGTTTCCTCAAGGGGATCCTACCTAGCTAGATTTTAATTGCTTTGAATTGTGGCCTCAGCTATAGTAGTCTTAGCTGAGGTTTTAATGGCCAAGATTTAAGTAAATTTAACAGATACACCAGTGGGTGTTCCAATTACATACAGCATTAAGGGCTTTATGTGAGGCTTAAAAAATATTTACTATTAAAAATAAAAGTCCACGTGCTGTGCAATTAACCAGCAGGGAAGATTTCAGCGTCCTGGAAAAGTTTCATATAAAAAGGAAGCTAGAAAAATGATAAGTCAGATTCAACACTCTCCAAAGGAAGCTTGGGATTTGGGGGGACTCTTTGCTCTGAGACAGGTAAAATGCTTTGTATTTCTAGCACTGTGTGTAGACTGCATGCTATTGTCTGTCTATAGGGCACTTTATAAGAGCTAGGGTTGGGGTTTCCCTGGTGGCGCAGTGGTTGAGAGTCCGCCTGCCGATGCAGGGGACACGGGTTCGTGCCCCAGTCTGGGAGGATCCCACATGCCGTGGAGCAGCTGGGCCCGTGAGCCATGGCAGCTGAGCCTGCGCGTCCGGAGCCTGTGCTCCGCAACGGGAAAGGCCACGGCAGTGAGAGGCCCGTGTACCGGAAAAAAAAAAAAAAAAAAGAGCTAAGGCCACCTGGTGTCTAAAGAAACCTTGGCCTTCCTGATCCTTGCCACCTTCAGCCACAGAGATCCAGACTTTGGGGAATCGAAGCAGCTCATCAACCAATATTTGATTTTGTCTTTGGCCCCTTCCCCACCAGTGAAAATTCCTTTGTGAGAATTCCACATGTAATTCAATAATTCATGGCTGCCTTGGCCACGGAGGCAGCTGGTGTGGAACCCCGTGCTTTGAAAAGCGTGGACTCCTCTCTCACACTCACAGATGGTCCAGCCAGCGGCAATGTGTGGAAGACTAGAGGACAGATGCTCGGCAAAATGTAATTAGCACCATAGGGTAGCCATTTAATGTCAAGCAACTTATATTAGCCAGAGACTCCTAGTAGGAGCCCCTTTTCAGAGCAGATGGCCCGATTCTCTTTATCTCAGGACTGAAAACCAACCACGGGGCGGGACTGGGGAATATGAAGACAAAAAGTGAATTTGATAAAGGAGGAATCCTGAGGTTTGGATAACCAAATAAATAATACACATTAAAATAGTTTTGTTCTTAAAAAAAAAAAAAAGATTTAGTTCTAAAAAGCACTCAACATGTGAGTTTAAAGGAGTGATTTTGTCCCCAGTGGCTAGGAAACTCAAGGCAAGCAAGTACCTGCATGTGAAAACCATAGATGACTCCCACTTCCGTCTTCTGCCGGGTTAGTGACACCAGTGTTAGGCTTTTCACCAAAGGAGTCTTGGCTCAACCCAGTCTGGGTCTATTTTTATGGTCGCATTGATGTTCCTTAGAATGGAGCCGAGTCCAAAACTTCTAGCTGGACTTATTCTGCTGACTCTCTGTGTGGTGGGCTGCTCCAGCCAGCACTGGTCCTATGGGTTGCGCCCCGGAGGAAAGAGAAATGCTGAAAACGTGCTTGATTCTTTCCAAGAGGTAAGTTTCTCTCAGCTTCAAAATGAGACATGGCTTACGTGATGCAACTGAACGATGCCAACATCCTGCATGCGTCCAACAGTGCTACCGGTTCTTGGCTCCAACCTAGGTATTCCGGGGGTGATAAGGCACTTCCAAAGTCAAGTCCCATTCCTGCTTTCAATTCAGACAGGGACTAATGGGACAAAGAGCAGGAATAATCCCCAGACCAATAAGCAAGCGCAAAGGGGTGTGTCATACTCTGAGGATATAGATTTGCCAAAGGAATTAGAAACAAGGGGACGGAGCCAAGGTCTCTCGTACAAGATGATTCTTTGGGATTTGGAAAGAAAATCTTAGAACTCTGCCTTTTTTTTTTTTTTTTTGTAATTTCATGTTTTAAAAATATCTGTGATATTAGGTCAGCAGTACATTTTTATAACATAAATAAGTATCCTTATCAAGGGTGCATGCTCTACAATTTTTTTTTTTTTAAGATTTAATTTTATTTATTTTTGGCTGGGTTGGGTCTTCGTTGCTGCATGCGGGCTTTCTCTAGTGGCAGCGAGTGGTCGTTGCGGTGCGTGGGCTTCCCGTTGTGGTGGCTTTTCTTGTTGAGGAGCACTTGCTCTAGGTGCGCGGGCTTCAGTAGTTGTGGCGCATGGGCTCAGCAGTTGTGGCACACGGGCTTCGTTGCTCCACGACATGTGGGATCTTCCCGGACCAGGGCTCGAACCCGTGTCCCCTGCATTGGCAGGCGGATTCTCAACCACTGCACCACCAGGGAAGTCCCTACAATTTATTTTTAATGATATGGGCACTCAAGCAAAGAAGTTGGAGGTCCCTAGAGGAGAGGAGTTAGCAAGCTCAAGAAGACAAAATACATTCTGGAAAATATGCTGGATTTGATTCCATAGAAATTAGTTTTCAGTTCTAGTACCAGAACTGACACAGGTACTTGGGTTTTTTAATCTATAAAATGTGACTTCTTGGGGCCATGTGAGGATCACATGAGCGAAGCCATATATCTTGGCTGCTTAATCCAAAAAAATGTTAGTGGATAAATGAAAGACAGTTGTTATTGTTTTTTAAGTTAATGGGAAAAGAACCAGGCCCTAAAGGATGAATGATTCAGGGCTGGACACTCAATATAGAGCTGAGAATGGGAAACACAGCTAGAGAAACTTAAAACCATTTAGTTTTCACTGAAAAGAAATTATCTCATTTTGGAGAAATAATAAAGATAATTTAGGATGAAACAAAGAAGCCCAGAATCTGACATTCCCTCTCCACAGACTATATGTGAAGCAACTCTCTTCTAACTAGGACATATTTAGTAAACACTTGAAAATAAGATCAACCTTCGTCAAAACTATAAGCTCTTGCATTTTTTTGTATACCATCCCGTCACGAGGCTTGAAGCGCTTCATTCTCATCAACTGTAGGGAGACAAATATCCTCTCTCCTTATTATGGCCCATTTCCTCCGGAACTGCACACCGATCTGTAGAAGTGTCTGACAGCATTTCTATGATCTTTTAAAGTCTCCATCCCAAGTCTCAGCGTTCTCAGTCCCACAACCCCCTTGACTTCACTTCCCACACACAGCTTTTGGTGGAAATGGAAAATACCATTTCACGTCTGTATCTCCATCTCCAAGAATCACATTCTTGTTTTTGCAGACAGCCAAAGAGGTTGGTCAACCAGCAGAACCTCAGCGCTTTGAGTGCACCATACACGAGCGCCGTTCTCCACTCAGGGACCTGAAAGGAGCTCTGGTGAGTTACAGGGTTAATAACATGGAGCTTTAGAGACGGATGGGCCCTGGGCACCACCACTTTGGTCATCCACTTAGGACAACCATCTCTAGCTACTGCAGGGCTTACCTTCCTGACTGCCTGAATTCCTCCTTTATTGGGCCCTTGCCATTCCATAACACCCCTTTTCAGTGGTTAGACAGTAATAATGATTGGAACCCTTTTTCTTTTTTTCTTAAATTGAAATCTCTTTGGGACCTTTATCTATTAATCTCAGCTCTAGCCTATGGGATGACTGACAAAACAAGTTTCTTCCCACTGCTACATGTCAGTTCTTCAAGTATGTTCATCAAACTCTCTAGACTATTCTTCTCTAGACTAATCCACACCTCTCCACTGGATTCTTCAACAGTTCTTGGTATATAACACGGTTCTCCCTGGGAAATGTAGAAATCAAAAATGGTGCTCTAATTAATTTTCTTTCTCTTTGGAATAAAAACTCCCAAACTAGTAAATTTATAATTCAGAGCCACAGATTTGACTTCCAGTTTTCTGACTGGACAATACTAATTTTCCAAATTCCCACCCAAGATGGAACTCTACTAACCCAATGTAGGTTTTTGATTTTAAAAAATGTATAAAGAGAACTGAATATAGAAATTGAAACCTGAATTCAATTCTGATGTTCTCTGAGCTCCATGGTCCACTTATTTACAGCAGTTAGAAGGCATTACAGTTAATTTTCAGCTATGCCCAGGAGCAAAAAAAGCCTGAATATGTCATATACAAAGATGAGCGATCGTTTTTATTTTCTCCATTGACTTCAATTTCTACACCCATAGGACAGAGAAAAAGTGGACAGACATACTTATTTCCTTTCTTTTTCTAATCCTGTTTACCTCATGATAAAACTAATAGCAAGGAATGAAATTATCCAAACATGACATTAGAAAGACAGAATTGAGGCAAAGACTGGATTCATAACAGATGGATGGGGACTTCCCTGGTGGTCCAGTGGTAAAGAATCTGACTTCCAATGCAGGGGACGTGGGTTCAATCCCTGGTTGGGGAACTAAGATCCCACATGCCTCAGGGCGACTAAGCCCGCGTGTCACAACTATTGAGCTCGCTCACCTCAACTAGAGCCCGTGTGCTGCAAACTACAGAACCCACGTGCTCTGGAGCCTGCGCGTCACAACTAGAGAGAGAAAACCTGCACACCACAACTAGAGAGAAGCCCACGCGCTGCAACAGAGATCCCATATGCCGCAACTAAGACCCGACGCAGCCATTAAAAAAAAAAAAAAACACAGACAAAACGATCAGACCTTTTTTCACCTCTGTCCTCACATCCTACCTTTAAACTATTAATGTAGATATTATGCTTATTAAACGACTTATAAAGACATGATCTAGCTCTCTAGCACTTTCTAGTGTGCAAAAACAAATGGATCTATTCTTTCTATATCAATATTTCAGAAATTAAAATGTTCAAACATAATGAAACTCAGCTCAGAAAAGCAACATTAATATATTTGCTACTCACATATTTTTCAGGAAAGTCTGATCGAAGAGGAAACTGGGCAGAAGATGTAAATCCACTGGACCAGAAAAATTGACAACACAAGTGTAATTCTGACTTTGAAATCTGTGACCCCTCTAATATCTGTAAATTGTGTGAATTTCAGAAATTCTCATGCCAGGTTGCACATGATGAAGTACTGTGTTGGGAATAAAGTGGCATAAATGTGAAGTCTTTCTCTAACTCAGAACTCTGGTCGGGGTGGGACATTGTAAGCCCCCAAAGGGGGTCCCCCAAGTGTGTCGACAGGGGGCAGAGGACAGGAGAGATAACACAAAGGCACCGTTATTGTTGACTAAAGGAATCTCATGGCTCACTTCCACCACCACCAACCTGCACCCTGAACCCACAGGACAATTGGTCCCTGGCCAATACTGAGTCAATCCAGTTTTCTATGGGGTGGTAGCTTTCTCTTTGACCATACCCTACAGAAGCAAGATAGGGCCATGGCCAAAGCTTTCCCCCCAGATTGTCTCTAATCTCTTTGAAAGTCAACCGGAACCTGAGAGAGGCCTTGGGGAAAGGAGGCCTCGTCCAATGCTCCTTCCGGCTCCACGTGGTCCCTCCAAGGTCATCAGAGCGAGCGGTGCACACTGAGGTTTGGACCAAGGCCTAAAAATAATAGCATTCACCTGTCTGAGCTTTTTGGTATTTCTCTTAAGAAACATATGGATTGTAGTCAGCTGAAGACAGGATTCAGGCGTTCCCGTGTCCCCTGGTCAAACAGCACGGCCACCGCTCATTCTCCAGCATGGGCTAGACAGATGCATAAATATTTTCATTAACGCTTGTATCGGCCTTGGAAAGTAGATATTGTCTTCCCTTTAAAATGAGGAAACCAGAGCTCCGAGAGTTTACGAGACCCACCTGGTTCTGCTGGGTTCCAAGGTCAAGTGCTCCTGTATTGCACTATGATGACAACCAATGAGCTTGGACTTGGAAGCCCAGTTATTTGGTTACTGGGGCTCATGTGTCAACTTAGTTTTCCTGGTGACCATTTCTCCATGACGTCCCAGACACTATGACACTAGCTTTCTCATTTATTCTCATAATTCCCCAGTGGCTATGAGGCCATTTGAAAAACCCAAATCTCAGATAACTTGCCTGATGTCACAGCAACAAATTGTGCCTCTATTTGCACGGCAAAGGTCTAAGCCTTTTTTCCTCTTTTAATCAGAAAGATGGAGCCTTCTTCCACCCCTTCAAAAAAGGGCAGGACTTGTGCTAAGGAATTGGAACAGGGGTCAGAAACATTCCACAGGAGAGAAAACCCTTACTTTTTAAAGCATATACTTACTACCATACAACAGATTTCCCAAGTATCTCCTATTGAGGAATCTCTAAAACTGAATCAAAGAACTACCTCAATTTCATTTTAATAAAATTAAGCAGTCATGTGGTTTACAATCTACCTTATGTTTCTTTATGGAACAAAAGGCAAACCTGCATTATTTCATTAATCAATACTTACAAGGCGGAATAAGGGGCTTAAAGTCGCCAATCACTCAGGAACTATTTCTGTTTTTATAAAAACAATCTTTGCGTTAGTTAACACATTACAAGAGGAAGGCCACACACCCATTTATTTAATATATCCTGTTGGGAACATCAGCTTTCCTTCACCAGAGCGTGTCTTTGGGACAATTTCTTCGGAGGTAGCTGTGGGCCTCTCTGCCTGGGATGTAAAGATGATACTCATTCAGCTCCCTGATGCTGAGGTTAGAGGCTTGGGATGAACATGTTGAGTATTTGATTCTCAAATGGCTCAAGTGACTAAGGGGAAGGAGAGAAAATGACCACTTTATTAAAATTATAAACACTTTCCTGAATCTGAATAACTTCTAAGTAGTCTGAAACCTTTCCAAATAAAAAAAGGGGAAACATAGCTTCAAAAAAAGTCTGCAGCCTTTCAAAATAAAGGATGGGGAAACATACCAAATGATACATTTTAATGAGACGAGTTCTCAAACATAGATGGCTTTAAACGATCAAGTAACAGAAAGAACGGCTTGAAGATAGACCATTTTTAGCAAAAGTCTTAGAAGTTGTAGTATCCTCAAGGTGACTGGAAAAAAAGCTAAGAATCACTGCACAAGATAACAGCACGTACACATCTTGACAGCGGAAGATGCTCTAAAGTAGTATTTCTCAATGGGGACCCAAGATTCAAAAAGATTCCCCAGGTTTATTGACTCAGAGTCTCTCTCTGGGGCCCAAGCCATCTGCATTTTTAATCAGCATTCTGGTGATTCTTATGTACACAGACAGTGCAGCATCATTGCTCTGAAAGGCAATCAATTGCACGTGTTTTAGAGTACTAGGACACGTTCTTTAAAAAAAAAAATAAAATCTATGCATCAACCCAGGACTTAAGACAGTGGTGCTATTCTAACCGGAGTGAGGCTGCCCCCTCTTTCCAATCTGACTCACCACCAGCAGGGAGTTTAAGAAAAGCACCTTGAACACTGATTTGCTAAAGCTGTTATTTCCTCTAAGGCAATGGTTCTCAACCTTGGCGTGACGTTGGGATAACATGGAGAGATTGAAAAGAAATACTAATGCCTGGGTCCCACTCCCTTCCCTCGGAAATTCTGATCTAATTGGTCTGGGGTGTGGCCTCTTCCCGGGTTCAACCTACTTTGTTGAAGGTGGTTTGAGAATCCATTCCCATCCTTTCAATGTAAGTTATTTGATATACCTTTTAACCTCTTTATTTCCGTTTAACTCTGCCTAATTATCCGTGGTGAATGAGTGAAGAAATAGGATTTATTTTATACTTACTTATTTAATACTAATCGTATTAAATAAATTGTTGTAAACTGTCAGCTCAGATGCCAAGGGATGAACGGGGTGTGGGTGGAGGTAAAGTAAAAACCAAATAGTTTACGGTTTTTATTGCTTCCAGGCAAAGATGACTCTATGATCCCACAGAACAAGTTTAAACAAATAGGACCAGTAATGAAATGAGACCAGAAGAGATGGTGGGTGTGATGTGTCAATGAGGAAAAGTCCAGGAATGAGTTCATTTCATTAATATAAGGGTAATAATCAACTAAATACACAATAAACTTTAAAATACAGTTTCATTTTTAATTTAAAAAATAAATAACAGCAAATGTGAACAAAATTTTTCTACTTCAACGCACATCTTCTTAACTGTTCATGTTTGAAATCCGACTAGTTTACAAAATCAAGGCAACTGAGCTTTTGACAAAGTTTGGGTGAACAACTCACAAAATTTCACTACTGGATGAATCTGGGCAGCATATAAAGGAGACGAGCCTTGGCTGGATTGTAGGAGTCAGCCTGAAGTCATCAACTTGAAAGGAAAACATTTTCCTTTGGTAGATTAGAACTGATGGTTCCATTCTCAACCCACCCAAAGAGCAACTTACCTTTTCCAATTTAATTTCACAATCCCACTTAGTCATGGAGTATGGACCTAAAAGCCTTTGAAGAGAAACTTAGGTTTCTTCTGACTCTCTTTTTCATTCACTTAGAATAAAAGCTAGGGCTAAAAGGATTCTAAAAATCATGTAACCTCAAATATATATGGTTTCATGAGGAAACTGAGGTCCAGGGACTGACTACAAATTAACCTGCCAAAAGATACACCCTTCACAGTCTTGTTTTGTGTTGATGGTGGGGTTTTTCTCCCCTTTTCATTATAGCTGAGAAGTGAGAGGAAGGGAAGTACATATTGAAGGGCCTTCTAAATACCTTTTATAAAATGACAGCATGACACGAGGGAAACTTCTGTGGGGCTGGGAGTAGCCTGTGGATCCGAGAGGTGGTGACATGGGTAGACACTACTGTAAAAGTGCATCCACCTATACACTAAGATTTGTGCCCTTAACTGTATGTAAGTTATGTCTTAATTTTTTTTTTTTTTTTTTTTTTTTGGCTGTGCCGTGTGGCTTGCGGGATCTTAGTTCCCTGACCAGGGATCGAACCTGTGCCCCCTGCAGTGGAAGCATGGAGTCCTAACCACTGGACCACCAGGGAAGTCCCAGTTATGTCTTAATTTTAAAACAAGAAATCACCCCACAATCTGGGGTCAAGCAGAGGGGCAGGACCCTTGAAGCTTGGGAAGAGTTAGCAAAGAGAGATTGTTATCTCAGATCCTGCTTTATCGCTGGTTTTGTCTTAGGGATCTGAGGGTGGCAGTTGTTTTAAAGGGGGTCTCTCTGACAGGGGAAAATGACTGTAATTCTGGAATCGAGGCATGAAGGTGGAGGAGGGGGAGGGAACCCATGGCCCAGCAGCCCGATTTAGGGTTTCCCTTTCCTCTAAAGAGAGTTCCCCACTCTCTTGCCAATCCAACGGCACACCGCAGTCCTTATATCCCGGGGCTGTTTCCTTAGAACACACTGAATCGCCACAGCCTGGGAGTCTAGGAAGGTGCCTGGCATTCAGTAAGAGCTTAATATATGTTGAACGAAAACCATTCTTGAAAAAAAAAATCTCAAAGCAAGACAAGTCACCAGGACAGAGAGGGAAAAAAAGGATTAAAAAAAAAAAAATCCCATAAACCAACATCCACAAAAGTTGTGACAAGTTGGGGGTTACTTCAATACTTCACAGTTCTTATCAAGGAATATAAAGGCCAGTTGTTTCTTTTTTTTATGCCCTGCCCCTCATCTCTCCTACATTTAAGGTAATCCTAAGGTATTTCTTTGCAGTTTTCCTCTTTGACTTCAGGACAGACATTCGTTAGGATCTTTTGTCAAATATAACTCTTTCTGACCTAATAGTTTCCCAAGGAGATGAACTGTCCAGTGTCCCCTGTGACCTACTATTCACAACATTACCTGGAATCCTTTGTACTCAGGCAGGAGAGATCTAGGATTTCCATGGATGTGGAAAGGGAATCCTATGGGAAAATGTTACGTTAAAAAAGGGAAGATATTTGGGCACCGGTGTATCCGATGTCCCCAGCCTCTGACCAAAGACCAGGCTCACAACTCATCCCTACAGCTCGGAAGGGACAGGCTTCAGGTTTATTTCTTCTGTGACCTAGTTTACGTCCTTCTGTTTTAACGGCAGCCTGGAAAGCAGGGTGAAGCCCACGAATCCCCTCCAGCCAGTCTGCCCAGCAACTTCTCAGAAGCTGCTCCAGGCACCATGTCAGCCCTGCAGACATTGTCCCTTCCTGCTCTTTTCTTACCACTTAAAATCCCCTCCTTGGCCGAGCTGCGCCGCATGTGGGATCTTAGTTCCCCGACCAGGGATCGAACCCACACCCCCTGCACTGGAAGCATGGAGTCTTAACCACTGGACTGGCAGGGAAGTCCCCCACTCCAGGTCTTATTAACACTTTGTCTCTAGTCATACATAATTATTTAAGAGGCCACCTTTTGGAAAGGGACTGTTGTGTGCAGAACTAACCTGCACCCACCTTCCAAATTATCTTTGAAAAAAAAAAAAAAAAAAAAAAAGGAACATCAATCATGCTCGTGGAGAGTTCCAGGTCTTACCCAGGCCCAGCAGAGACAAGAAAGGCACATTTCGTGAGGACTTACTTCACGTATTTGGTCTCACTTGAACCCCAAGGCAGCTTGCATGGTAGGGATGGTCCCCATTTTGAAAGGTGAAGACATGAAAACTCAAGACAATTTCAAAGAATTTGAGGGAGTTTGCAAAGCTGAGAGAGCACATAGCTGGATTGATTCAAACCCCAACGGGTTACTTCCAGAGCCCGGGTTTCTTCCCATTTCGTCACACTGAAGGTGCTCCTGCGTGGAGCAAAGGAAAGAACGCGGCACTTTTAAATATGCACACTCATGTCTTGAGTAACCCTGGACACATCTCAGAGGTTTTTACTTCCCTGACCCTGTGATGAATTCACATGGCTCTCCTAAAAGGGGTGAAACCGACACACGAAGACGCAGGCAAGCAAACCCAAATTCTCAGACGTGAAATCTCTCTCTCCTTCTTGTCTACCTCGAAGGAAAGGGGACCTGGCCAGGCTGTGGAAGAGCCCCCGGTGAGCATACCCACAGGTTGACCCAGGGCATCCGCAGTCAAAAAGGTTTCTATTTTGCCATAAACACCCAAACAGTATAGAAACATCTGGGACATTTCCACTGTTGTTCCAACTAGGGGTAGGGACTGAAGAATTTGTCAGGGTTGACTTCTAGAGACGTTATCTGGGTATAACCTCAATGCACGAGCTGGGTTCTTAGAAAGAATCTGTAGTAGGATTTTCTGTGTTTAGCCTCAATTTCCTTATCTACAAAATGAGGGGGGGAGGGTGCCTCTATGAGCTTTAAGGCCCTTCCAGCTCAAAAGGTCTATAACTTTGTGTGGCTGTTTCTGCATCTGGTGGTAATATTTGATCTTCTGAAGCACCCCACACTTTCTCTTCTGAAAAGAGGATTGACATGAGTACCATGAATATGTCATCAAATTAATTCCACAATCAAGAGGAATAAATAATCAAACCGAGATATTGCACTGTATTCTCCAGGGTAAAATCAGGCTGCAGACAGGGCCTGCCGAGCCATTCCAATGGGATGTGGAAGAGAAGCAGTTCAATCCGGACTTCTAAGTCCCTTATATCCAGTGATTTGAGCTCAGAGGAGGTAACAGGACAAGAAACTGTGTGCAAAAGACAGAGCCTCAGGAGTCCATGGTAGGAAGGAGTGACTGCCATGCAGTTAGGACCATTAGTCGGGAGTGTGAGGGAACTCCTGGCACGGGGCGGGGGAAAGGAGGGAAGCTTTTCCATGTCACAGATGGGTGGGGGGACACAGGTGCTCAGGGCTCACGACCGAGTCCATGTTCTTTCGATAATGATAGCCATTCATACTTGAAAGCAGCCGATTTCCATTAAAAAGATGTTCTTTTCCACAGAGGAGACACAGGAGACCTCAGAAAGACAGATGATTCCGGCTACCAAAGTACTTGATGTTGGTCTCTTCCAATATGTTGTATGGAACAAGGTATGTCCACGTGAGAAAACTACATCTCAAGCACAGCTTTTCAGAAGCAAAGCAAAAAATTCCTCCAAGGAATAGGTTACTGGGGTTTTCCCACCACCACTGATGAACTTATCCAGGCTTTCGTAGACCCCGGTGGCACTGTGCTGGAGGCTGAAATGTAATAATGGTGAGGGAGAAACACGGGGCACGGCCAATTCCGGGATTCCTCATGGACTGGAGGAGATATGGCGTGGCCTCGGGCATCGATCAAAGAAAAGCTTTCTAAAGAATGAAATCAGTTTTGAGCAGGCGAACCTCAACCCCAGATGAGGAGAGGCAGCCAGCAGGGGACCCATGAGGACACTGCCTCCGCGAGGCCAGCTCCCAGGCATCAGAGTTCCAGAGAGAGGACAAGATCCTTACTGGGATCCAGGTTCAGAAGAAAGGATGCCCGACTTCCGAGCTTTTGGAGGTGGAGGGGGCGGGGCTTTGGCTTCTCTTAGGACAGGCAGTGGGGCTGCAATCTGGTGGAGCAGACATACGAAAGGAGAAGTGAGTCTTACCTTTCTTCCTAATTCTGCCTTCCACTCCACATTTCCAACATTCTGCGTTAGCTTCTCACTGATCTGAGTTTATCTACACAGCCTTTGCCGGTGAAAAGGGAAATCAGACTGATTTAATCTCCCCCTTTCCCTTGCATTAATCAGATATACACTAACACTGCTATATCCCCAATACTTGGCGTATGTATAGTAGGGACTCAATGAATTTGTGTTGAATGAATGAAGGAAACCCATCGGAGGCCCCTTCCAGAGTGACTGTCACTCACTCAGAAGAAGTAAACTCCTCAGGTGTGAACGAGAACTCACTTCTTATTTCACTCCCCCCGGGGCCTGGGGTGAGGTACCTTCAATCTGATGAAAGGTCTCCTTGCGTATTGTTCCTTTCCATTGAAAATTCCCCTCTCTTTATGGTTTCAGGAATGAACCAAGAATCGATTAGAGGGACAAATTGATGGGAAAACCTGCCTACTAAAACTCTTGGGAAATCCAATGCTGCATTCCCATGAGCAGTAGGCCCTCTGTGGCCCCAACGTCTGCCGTCACCCCCCTACCTCTGTGGAGTTCCTCTGGCTGCTCTCGTAGGGCTTGCTTTTGGGTGGAGGGGGAGGTGGGACTGTAGCCATCACCAGCCCATCTGTCTGCAAAGATGGAGAGCCTGGAAATGACACAAAGTAGAGGAAGGCAGAGAGAAAAATTCACCAAGGGATCTCATGACACTTCTGCTGGCCACGGTAACACCTAAACCCACCTGGTCAGACAAATCGCTACGGTCACATTCTACACTTTCTGTGGACAGAATGAAGAAGACCTCTTACGCCTTGGGATAGATGTAGCACCTTTCATTTATCTGAAAGCTTCACCAGAAGTTCTTAAGCAAAAATCTCACTTTTTTTGTTGAAGGTTTTTACTCTTAAGCTGAAGATGAGACTCTTTTCTAGAACTTAGGGTATTACTTTGTTCTCTGATATATCCCAAGTCCTTAGAAAAAGCATCTATCACATACTAGGTAGTCAATAAATATTGGTTAAATTGAACTGTCAGTTTTATCATTTAAAGGGTGCAATATCCACTTCCTCCAGGAAAACTTGTCTGATTATCTCTGACACTCGGCTGACTACTGTCTCCCATTTGATGTGAAGATCTACCCCTCCATCATCCCTTTGTACTAAGCGGTCCTTGTAATTCTTCTCAGAATAGTTTCCAAAGTTACCCCCTTCCTGTCTAGTACTAGTCCAGATCTACCTCATTTATACCATCACAGTTGGAAAAGGGGCAGTGAAACCCTGTGGCCCCCTGGGTAGAAAACTTTAATGAGTCTCAGCAACCTAAGGATTCCTTGCCAAACCCTAATCTAATTGAATTATACCCACTACCACTGAACTGAACCTACCTGACGATCATCTCATACACCTTGTGGCTATCTTGGTTAAAAATGGCCCAGATTCATCAACATACACCATCCTCTAGTAAAATGAATAGAAGGGGTGTCTACAGGAAGACTTACTCAGGGTCCTGGTCGCTTTAGGAGTGAGCGGGGGTGGGCTCAGGGGTGTTGACTGAGGCAGGGAAGAGCCATGAAACGGTGTCAGCCGATTGTCCGACAGCTGGAGACTCTTTGGCCTTTGTGCTTTTCTGGCTGGGCTCTAGCAGCGGGGGTGGGGAGAAACACAGCAAAACATGCTCACGGTGAGGCACGCCAGGCTCATCCATGCTCAGAACAACCTTATCAGCAGAGCCGAAACCGTTAAAGGGCAAAAATTCCAGGAGCCCTTTCTAAGCTTACCGCACCGGCACGCTGGGGGTACCAGAGCAGAGACACTAACAGGGGATCACCGGACCATAGACTATTTTCTGGCCGGCCACAGACTTGATTTTAATCACAGTTGGACTGTGCCATTTAGGTCGGAGATGAGCCACCCTGATTCTCAGGGAGAGCAGGTCCTGCCACATTTAACAACGTGATGTGGCTTATGGAAGAATCAAGTACCTTTTATTTTTTTAAGCTAAAAGAAGGGAAGCGACAATGTTTGGATGGAGTCATGGACCACAGTGGCGAGAACCACAACTCCAGCCATTAATCCACGGGTTTATACTGTGCATAAATCTTGCGCCATTATTGACTTAGAGGCTCCGATATCTGTACGTGTTTTTCTTAGCACCATCTGAGATCTGACCCTACCCCAGGCTGCTGCGTCCTGAGAAACCATGCTAGGCTTCCGTCTGGTGACTCACAGCTGTGAAGTAAATGGTGAAATGCCTGGCTCCGGGGAAAGCAATGGCAAACTGGCAGATCTATGGTGTTTGTTTGTTTGTTTGTTTTTACCATCAGATCAGGTTCTGATGCTTTCTCTGCGATGACCTGGGATTTGCTCAGACTCCAGTCTTTCCTCTTGAACTTGCTCATCCGGTTCTCACTGTCCTCTTTGAGGGACAGATCTTCCACTCTGGCCCCTGACGAGGCTCTGCGCTCCAAAAGGGGCTCCAGGATGGACCTAGCAGGGGTGGGGGGAGGGAAGGATTGGGAGTAGAGGCAAACTAGTAAATATAGGATAGATAAACAACAAGGTTCTACTGTATAGCACAGGGAACTATATTCAATATTCTGGGATAAACCATAATGGAAAAGAATATGAAAAAGAATATATATATGCATAACTGAGTCACTTTGCTGTAGACCTGAAACTAACACAATGGTGTAAATCAAGTATACCCCAATAAAAATTAAAACAAACCAACAAACAAAAAACTGACTCCAAAAAGACCAGGGGATATGACTCTCCAGCCGAACCTTAACCTGTGGCATTGTTCTCAGGTTGCAATCTGAATTTCCAACTGCCAATTGAATATCACAAGGTCTACGTGTACAGAAATGAGGCCGTCCAAGTGTGGGAAGAAAATACTAGTGAATATTTATCTTATCTCACGAAGACAATGTCTTATTAAACTTAGAGGTAAAGACAGAGTTCACACAGTAAAAGATGAATAGGCAGCTTTATGTAGTGGATAATAGCACATTCTCTGGAGCCCTACAGCCTGGGTTCAAATCCTACCTACACTGACTTGCTGGTTGACCTTGGGCAGATAACCTTTTCATTCCTCAGTTTCCTTATATGTGAAATGGGGATAATAATAGTACCTACCTCATAGGGTGATTACAGAACGCTTGCAACAGTGCCTAGCATATAGGAGTACTCCTCAAATGTTTTTTAATTACAGTGATAGATTTTCAAGCACCACAGTGAAAATGGATTCACTCAAGAACCATAATTAGATGTTAATACATAGAGGAGAAGAGTTGATGAGAAACAGGAGAGTCTCAAAATATCTCCCCATAAATTGCTCATTAATTACAAAGGGAAAAATAGTAAGTACTGTTTTAAAAATAGAAAAGAAAATGGACCAAATCTTAACCACAGGATCAATTAAATCACTAATAAGGGACAAATGGGTAATGTGCTTCCAGATATGATACCTGAAAAGGACATATCACACCTGAATCTCAAGCACGAGGAAACATCAGACAAACCCAAACGAAAAACAATTCTATAAAATAACTGGCCCATAATCTTCAAAAATGTCATTACGAAAGACAAGGAAAGGCTAAGGAAATGATTTCAAATTAAAGAATAGAGAGACATGGCTAAATACAATATGTGATTCTGATTGGATCCTGTACCACAAACTGCTATAAGACATTACTGGGACAACTGACAAAACTGGAATATGGGTTGTAGCTTTAAGTATTGGGTCAATGTCACACTTCCTGAATGTATAGGCTGTACTGAATGTAGTATGTGGTTACAGTAAGACGATCTGCTTGCTCCATAGCCATGGTGTGTGCAGCCCACTCTCAGATGGTAGACTGGGGGTTGGGGGGAGAGACAGAGAGGAATGATGCGGCAAAATGTAAAAACAAGGGGGGAGGGGTTAAAAACCTACCTTTGTGATGTATAGATTGCTTATAGCTTCTAAATGGGTATTTAATAAGTTCTGGTTTAATTAAAAATTGGTAGATTTTACTCCATAAAAATGAAAAGTTTGGAGGGATAGGTCAGCAGAGCGCTAAGGATTCTTAGGGCAGTGAAATTGTACTATATGATACTACAATGGTGAATATATTTATCAAAACTCACAACGTACAACACCACGAGTGAACCCTAAGTAAACTATGGACTTTGGGTGATTGTGATGTGTCAGTGTAGGTTCATCAAGTGCAACATATGTATCACTTTGGTGCTGGATGCTTATGGTAGGGGAGGCTGGGCGTGTCCAGGGCAGAGGTACATGGGAACTCTATACCTTCTGGTCATTCTTGCTGTGAACCTAAAACTGCTCTAAAAAATAAAGCCTACTTTTTTTTTTTTTTT